ATTGCTTCTTGTCCTATCCTCAGAGGTTAAGAAGAATAATTTTTCTCCCTCCTTCTTGTAACAACCTTCTATGTACTTGAAAACTGTTATATCCCCTCTCAATCTTCTCTTTTCCAGACTAAACAAATCCAACTTGTTCAGTCTTCCCTCATAGGTCATGTTTTCTAGACCTTTAATCATATTTGTTGCTCTTCTCTGAACTTTCTCCAATTTGTCCACATCCTTCCTGAAATGTGGTGCCCAGAACTAGACACAATACTCCAGCTGAGGCCTAATCAGCGTGGAGTAGAGCGGAAAAATTACTTCCCATGTCTTGCTTACAACATTTCTGCTAATACATCCCAGAATAATGTTTGCTTTTTTTGCAACAGTGTTACGCTGTTAACTCACATTTAGCTTGTGGTTCACTGTGACCTGTAGACCCCTTTCCATAGTACTCCTTCCTAGGCAGTCATTTCCCATTTTGTATGTGTGCGACTGATTGTTCCTTCCTAAGGGGAGTACTTTGTCCTTATTGAATTTCATCCTATTTACTTCAGACAATTTGTCCAGTTTGTCCAGATCATCTTGAATTATAATGCTATCCTTCAAATCACTTGCAAGCCCTCCAACCTTGGTATCGTCCGCAAACTTTATAATGTATATGTGCATGTGTGATCTCACTTTTTAAAGTGTAACAAAAAACATAACTTTTGGGGAGAGAAAGGGCTAATGAACTCTGATTGTGTTATAGCCCCTTGAAAGTTATAATACAGAATAATCAGAACATTACATTAAAGGTGAAGTTCACTTGTGTATGAAGGACTAGCATAAGGCCTGTCCACCATTTTGGGAGCTTAAGTGGGCTACAGGCCTCTGCTGGCCCTCTGTACAGGGGAGAATTTCATCCTAAATTAACTTTTGCACTCTTCAGGAGATCAAGGTTCACTTCTACTCTCCAGGCCACGAGGAGGTGAGAGTTCTGTGGAAACAATATGTTCTGGACATATGAGGATTCTTCTGGCCAGTTAGGGAGTGGAATTGATTCTTGTTATCTCAGCAGTTTTCCCAGATTTACAAGCCCAGAACAAAGGACTGAACTGGGGTGCCAAATTTAAATTGTCTGTGTAGCAGTTTGTTGTACTGCCACTAGACCACCAGTCCAGACTAGCTGCCTGCAATTTTAAAGTAATACATTGAATTACATATTTAATTTCATAAATACTCTTTAGAATAAAGAGTGTGGGTGTATCTCTACATTTTTTCTTTTGAGAACATTTTAAGGGAAACAAATGTCTTAAAGATTTTTTTCCTTTGTGGACAATATTTTATTAAATAACACGGTGACAATCAGGGTCCAGATGCCACAAGGGGTCTGAACCCCAAAGAATGAACAATCGAATCAACTTGTATACAGTGTTATTGTGTATAAATATATCAAGTAAGATCATTTATGAAGGCTTGTAATGTTCTGAATTTGATGGTCCTTAGGAGATATGTATACAGGTTATGGTTATGAATGTATGCATGTATATATGTGTAGACATTTGTAATTGTAACCAGGATGCAACCACAACATCACTTCACAGCTGTGTGGGGAAGCAGTCAGGCAGGGAGGGGCACCTCTCAGGCTTGCTATGTCCACAAAACTAACTCCAAGCACCTAGCATTGTACAACCCAGGGAAAGACCATGCTGAACATAAGAGCGGCCATACTGGGTCAGACCAAAGGTCCATTTAGCCCAGTATCCTGTCCTCCGACAGTGGCCAATGCCAGCTGCCCCAGAAGGAATGAACAAAACAGGTAATCATTAAGTGATCCATCCCCTGTCGCCATTCCCAGCTTCTGGCAAACAGAGGCTAGGGACACCATCCCTGCCCATCCTGGCTAATATCCATTGATGGATCCTATCCTCCATGAACTTATCTAGTTCTTTTTTTAACCCTGTTATAGTCTTGGCCTTCACAATATCCTCTGGCAAAGAGTTCCACAGACTGACTGACTGCGTTGTGTGAAAAAATACTTCCTTTTGTTTGTTCTTAAACCTGCTGCCTGTTAATTTAATTTGGTGACCCCTAGTTCTTGTATTATGAGAAGGAGTAAATAACACTTCCTTATTTACTTTCTCCACACCAGTCATGATTTCATAAACGTCAGTCATAACCCCCCTTAGTTGTCTCTTTTCCAAGCTGAAAAGTCTCAGTCTTATTAATCTCTCCTCATACGGAAGCTGTTCCATACCCCTGATCATTTTTGTTGTCCTTTTCTGAACCTTTTCCAATTCCAATATATCTTTTTTTGAGATGGGCAACCGCATTTGCATGCAGTATTCAAGATGTGGGCATACCATGGATTTATATAGAGGCAATATGATATTTTCTGTCTTATTATCTATTCCTTTCTTAATGATTCCCAACATTCTGTTTGCTTTTTTGACAGCCTCTACACACTGAGTGGATTTTTCAGAGAAATATCCACAATGACTCCAAGATCTCTTTCTTGAGTGGTAACAGCTAATTTAGACCCCATCATTTTATATGTATAGTTGGGATTATGTTTTCCACTGTGCATTATTTTGCATTTATCAACATTGAATTTCATGTGCCATTTTGTTGCCCAGTCACCCAGTTTTGAGAGATCCTTTGGTAGCTTTTCGCAGCCTGCCTGGGATTTAACTATCTTGAGTAAATTTGTATGATCTGCAAATTTTGCCATCTCACTGTTTACCCCTTTTTCCAGATCATTTATGAATATGTTGACTAGGACTGGTCCTGGATCATTAAAGTTAATGGAAAGACACTGAAACTAAAAAGAAAACCCCAGTCTTGCAAAATTAAGGAAGAAGGGAGTTTCCCCTGCTTTGTGTAACTATGAATTGCCATAGTTTCAGAGTGTAAGAGAACAAAAACTGCAAACCCTTTTAAAAGAGAACATGTTTAAAGTGAAGCATATCCAAAACAGGATGCTGAGGACTAGCATCTAAGCAAGCTGCTGTCTGAAACAATGGATCTTCTTTAAGACAGAGGGCATGTTGGGAAATTGTTCAGAGGCAATAGGTAGGGAGTATTTAGAAAAGGGAATTTAACAAATACAGAATCATAAAGCCTGAGGTTGTCTTCATGTTTATTTTCTGTGTAACTTGTATGTGTTTGCTTATTCTTACTATTTCATCTTTGAATCTGTGGTTTTTCTATTAAATAAACGTTTTGTTTATTTTTACCCTAAGCAGGTCTATATTGTGCAATCTTGGTGGAGTGTCCCAGCCCAAGTGGACTGATAACAGGGTGGGGCAGGTTTCCCTTCTTCAGGGATGGTGAACCGGAAGGGAAAAGTCTGAGTGTTTTGTTGTTAAGAATTCAGGGAATAGATTTGGGGAGACCCCGCTATCAGTAACTTGTGGGTGGAAGTCTGGTTGAGGCGTTAATTCTTATTCTTGGCTACTGGTGTGTGTCAGCTCTGAGCCATAGCATTAAGGCACCTAGATTTTCAAGGCAGGTGGTGACAGAACCCTTTACTGGTCTGGGTGATCCCCCAAATGTCACAAACAACTTTCTGCTAAAGATCGTGAAATGCTTTAGAAACTTCGCCACATGCTTTTGAGGTCATTTAGGGACAGTCTGTATCTGATCACAGTGACCCTGTCTCTTCCAGTTCACCAGTGATGCCTGGTTTAATGACTCTTTGGCTGTGGTTTGAATCCAGTGTGGAACATACAGATGGAACAGGCATCCTGGGCTAATATACAAATCAAATTTTTAAAATGTTTGTCCTATCATGCTGTGTGCTAGCCTTGCTCGATGACTACATAATCTCGTTGATGTAAACTTGGTCCCTATCCTCACCTTCATACTGCTTTGTGACCCACATTATTGCATCATATTTTAAAGTAGATTGCACACTTGTTTTGAAGTAGGAGCCATGTCTTATTTTTTTTCTATGAGCCACTGAACAGAGTTGACTGCTCTGTACTGTGTTATATAGGGATGACATCACCAAGCACTGAAATGGGTTGGAACATGGCAGGTGTTTAACAGTGCTCAGCAGAAAACTGTATCCAGTTGTATCTACATGGGAAATTTATGTGGCAGAATGTAACTAATTTATTTTGAATTTGTCAAGGACATTGGGACTAACTGCTATTCTTCCAAAAAGAGCCATGACTTTTTAATGACTGACACAGTTCTACAGCTTATCCAATAGACAAGAGTGTCAATTCTTTGATATTGTGAACAGTGACAGCTGCAGGAAGCCAATTGCAGCTCCCAGGTCCCTGACTGTCAGGCTCCAGCAGTTAAAAAGGCACTTTGTTGCTGTAACTTCCACCTCTGATGTAAGCTCTGTAATGCCACAAGGAGGTCAGGTGTAGGGGAGCTTAGCTGTAGCACACCCCCTTCTACTACTGACTGACTCCTATCACACTCTCAGCTCACCCAATAAGTCCTCCTTCCTGCTTATGCCAGAGATATGCAGCTGGAGTAGGAGGCACATATACTGCCGCCTCCACCTTTACATCAACAGAGATCTCACACACACAGGGGAAATCAGTGACCAGTTTAAGTTCACTTTGCAGCACCGGAGCATCAGAGGAGTTGAACACTTTTGAACAGACTCTTCATTGTTACTAACATAAACCATGACGCTTTTCAGCTGTTTAAAAAAATTCAGTACTTATATCAAAAGGAAATGAGGAAGGTTATAATGTAGGCATTGGCCAGAATTTCCCAATCACCACTATTGTTTGTCGGATAGCTGTTACTCTTCCATCAAAGTACTGTAGTGACTACGTTTTAGCAATGTTGTATATTTCTACTTGAGGCCCTTTTGAATGAAGGGTGCTATAGACATGTAAGAATTTTATTTAAAATATTTCAGTTGGGAATTAAATTACTTGACGGTGGCCTTTTATATGTTTTCACTTATACAATAGTAATAATTCCAGCTTTTAAGATTTTCTCTTCATTATTAAGCAACATTATATTTCTGTCCTTTATCTCTTCATTGTTTGTTTCCACTCTCTAAGTTGCTATCTTTGGAGAACCATCTGTCAGCAAAGGAGGTATGATCCTACTTCTTTCTCATCATGAGTGTTATAAGCAATTGTTTAAGATTCATTTCAAAACTTTTAAATTCTCGTTAGTAACTCATTTTCCACCTGAACTCTGACATCTGATAATTTAGTCTTTGTTTACAGTTTGTGGATCTCTCATGTCTTCTTTGCAGAAAAGATGACCCCTTTAAACAAATTGCCTGACTTTCTTACTGTGTTTTAATTAAAATTGTATGATGTATTTATAGCAGAAAATACATATTTCTGCTTTCAATTGGTTTGATGCTCCATTAGTATTTACTTCCTTTTAATCTGTGGATAAAAATATAGTTAATGGTGCATTTTATGGGGCATAGAGGTTGCCCCATTTATTTCTCTGCCATCCTTTTTGTTGCAGCAATTCTCTCTCTCTCCCTGCCCGCCTGCCTGCCTGAAGATTTGTTTTCCTTTGGGACCTGTCAATACCTCTCCCCACTGCTCCAGTACTGGAGAGTGACCTGTTCCATTTCTTTTCTCCCAAGCCCCAAACTAACTTTATCTAGATAGATAGATAGTTATGTTATATTTTAAGTTTGATATTACATTGAATATAGTATACAATGTGCACAAAAAATCTAAACCATAATTGCACACACCTCTTTGTACAGGCAATGGATGCCTAACTGTACAGTATGCAAGCTGGGAGGCAAAAATCAAACTGACTGCTTAAGTCCTCCAAACCAACCCCTGCCAGCAGAATTCTTATTTCTTTTCTTGTTCTGTGGAACAGGCAGGCTCTCCCGTAGGCATCAAGTCAGGGAAGAAGCAGCTTAACCAAGTTCATCCAGCACTTACCTCAGAGCCTTGAGTCAGAGCAACCAAACTTAGTCAGAAAACAAAGTCTTTAAGGCCCAGGTCCTGCAACCTATAGCAGCCAGCTTGGCTTCTCATCCCTTTCTGTCTTGCTCAGCTTTTTTATTTATATATACAGTCCCGAGATAGGGCAGCATGCTTTTGCATCGCCCTCCTGCCTGTTTTGGCCATAAATGGAAGACTGTCCCGTAAAGGGGTAGTACTCCCCATCACACTGATATTTTGAAAATTAGGTTCAATAAATATTATATCTCCTACTGAGATAAATCGTGATGATTTGTGATTAATTCAGTTAAGCATAACAAACATTTGTTTATCTTGAAAATGCAGATAACTACACGAGATTTAAAAAGACCTAAAATTGTTTTATTGATAAAGGTGAGATACAAAGGTTTTGCTAAAAGTTAAAAACTTATTTGTAAAATTCCAAATGAGGAAGAAAAAGTACATGAATGTTCTTTGAAGTATAATTGGCACTATACTTTAACAAAACTACATGACTAAAGTCCTGAGGAATCTGCCACTACATACTTTCTTTTATCATTCCTTGAATGACATAGGAACCTTTTTTAAAAGGTTCTTCCTAAGAAAGTTTCTAAGGTGGAGTGGCACTCTCCAATCTTTGTTTATGATACTTCTGGTGTCATTTCATTTCTTGGCAGAGTGAGTCCTCTGCAGCTCAGATTTCTCAGGATTTTAGAGATTCAGTAATTGTAATTGTCTGAAAATCTGACTCAAAACATATTTGATAATGAAACTTGTTTCATTTATGCCTCTTGGGGCTCCATTGCCGGCTCCCCCTTTCTCTGATAATGTTATCATCTGGAGTCAGTGGGGTTGCACAAGGAAAGTCAGTAGAGGATTTGGTCCAAAGTGGCAGTGTTACAAAAAGTGGTATCGTAGAATCCAGAATAAAATGATATGGTTTCAAAAGATGTGATGCTCTAGGTGGTTGAAAGGGTCCAGTAGAAAATAAGATTACATAATAAAAATTCGAGACTAGATGTAGCAGGTAGAATGAGCGATGAAGCCATAGCAAAAAGCAAAGAGAATCCGTTAAGTGAAGATGTGGCAACAAGGTTTGGAAGTGCTGTGTCTATATGTTCATTTGTTGAAGTAGAACTGGGAGGTGGATCAGAGGCAGAAGAAAGAGCCCTACGGCATGAAATGACCAGGAATAAAAAAAAAAGATTCCAAATTGGAAAAATATTAACTAAAGTGATGAATATATAGTTTAGCTGTTGGTTATTTGAATCTAATAACACTAATATTATATATAGAAATATGCAAATAAAATGCAGTTGCAAATTTAGAAAGATCTTCTAAAACGGAGGTGATGTTACTAGATGTTTAGTTGCAGGAAAAGAGAAGGAAATGCTTTCCACTGAATGCAGTCTTGTATTTTCAGTAACCGTGTGGAAGCTTGGACAAGGGATGTTGATTTCCTGCTCAGACAAGAAGGCAGACCCATGGTGAATCTTACTGGCAACAAGACATTTGTGAGAGTAATGGAAGAAGATTGGCAGAATACTGATAAAGCAGCAAGTTGGATAAGGAAAGAAGCCACTAACTTTAGTCAACCATTTGTTCTTTACTTGGGATTAAATTTACCACATCCATACCCGTCACCCTCTACAGGGGAAAATTTTGGGTCCTCTACATTTCTGACATCTCCCTATTGGCTTGAAAAGGTATGTGAAAATGTACAGAAACTTAAATCAAAACGAATTTGTAACTGCATTTAGTATGTACAGTACCTTATTTCGCACACTATATAATTCACATCAAACTTGGGCTCAGGCCCAATTCTGATATTATAGTGCACTTGTAAGGACATCTGTGGATGAGATGTTAAGCATACTTCTTAAGGTTGCCCAGGTAGAAGTGAAAAAAGAAGAAGGTGACAACTCCAGTCTCTCTTGACCAATATTCCCCGACTCAGTAAAACCATTTCTGATTCCAAAAGGAGTGTATATTAAACTGGACACTTAATGGTGTTTGCCTGTACAATCCTTGCACTCCTAGTGTCTAGCTCATTGTTTTGTAAAGCATTTGGTAGCAACTTGGGTACAAGAGATGCTATATAAAATCAAATTGTGTCTGAATTCTGTGCTGACAGGTTGAGCTTAGCCCAGAATGGCTGCAAAGGTGCTACATCAGTGACTTTGCACAATGTAACTTTTTGTCTTTTCTGTTACCTGATGCTTTGATTACTAATCTAGCTCTTTCAGTTTTTCATTCTAATGCTAAGAAAAATCTAGCTACTTCCATGTGTAGGAAATCAGCAGATACCATTCTCTCTGGGAGAAGGAGTGAACAATTTCTGTTTATCTGCCTCTTGTATTGTCCACAAATACAGTTTTACTATTGTCACAAAACTCTCTCGATTAGTTACCATGGCTCCCACTGCCTAAATGGCAACAAGATTTCACACAACCCAGTAACTGAGCAGTAGGCTTTGAAGAGACTTTACATTTATCTGCCCAGTCTTTACTACTGGGGTGTTGTAAAGTCAGTTTACCTATGTAATTTGATGCCCCCCTCCTTTACCATAATATCTGATACCCTTTCAAGCATTTAAAAATAAAAATAACAATCACTCTCTTTCTTCATTCTTTGCCTGGGAAAAAGTAGTTAGATTATTATAGGTTTTTAAAATTTTTCAAAAATGTATTGTTTTATTTTGAGTTGTATGTGAGAGCACCATGTTAAGGGAAAGCAAAGTCAATGAGATGTGTTTTTACATTTAGTTTTGAATGCAGGAAGGCCTGTGGTCATTCCGATCTGTTACAGGAGGGAGTTACATAAGCTAGGGCCAGCTTCTGTGAAGATTTTTTTTTTTCCTGGTTTTATGAGCCACCCTCCCCCATTTGTTGACTATTTCATGGTTCCAGCTGAACACAGTTGTCATGGTTATGGAGGAAGACGTGGTCTCTCAAGAAGCTAGGAGCAATCTCATGGAGATCTTTGAATATGAGGGCAGAGACCTTGAATTAAATTCTAGATCTAAGGGGCAGCTACTGCAGAGTGAAGCATCAGCATGATGTTTCTAGTACCCTGTGTTGCTAAGCTGATGGTCTCGTGCATTTTGTAGGGATTGATGCTTTTCCAGGGCACATGGCTTTGTTCCTGAATATGAGTTGCAACAATCAAGCATCGAGATCGTTAATTTAATGGATCACTATTGTCAGGTCTAAGGCCTATAGGAGGAGTTCAATCTTCTGGCCAGTCACAGATGTTGACTTAATGTGAGGGTAGAGGCCTTGAATAATGGGGAATGTTCTAGAAGAACCACCTTATTTGAGGAACTTCTCTCTCCCTACTGGTATTCCACTCTTGCCTGAATTCAGGTGTAGCCAGTTTCTCATTTCATTAGGCACTGAGAAAACTTGGAGCTGTTGCTGTTTACGTTTGATGTAAAGGAGATAAAGAGCTAGGTGTTGTCAATGTATGCTGCTGGCTCTTCAGACCTTGCTGTCTCACCAGCTCTTTTAATGACTTCATATCAATGTTGGATAATATGGGAGAGAATATTGAATTTTGTGGGAGGTGAGGACTTTGGAGATGTTGGCATGAATGGCCATAATTTCTCTCAAGTTTGGTCTGAGAGGAGGAAGTTAAGGCATTTCAAAGTGTTTCTGTACCACCTCTTAAACCTCTTAAAGGTGGGACAATAGTATTTGGTGGTTAAAGGTACCAACTTCTGAAGAGAGGTCTAACAGGGTGAGTGTTTATGTACTTCTCTTGTCTATGGACAAGGGTTCATTCAACAGAGAATTGCTATCTCTGCAACATGCCCTGGCTTGAAACAGAATACTGTCAGCTGATAGGTGGAGTTGGAGTCTGGTTTTGTTCCCTTCTTAATTAGCCCAATAATAGTGTATTTAATCAAGAAAAGGTAATGGAAATGACATTTCAGTGGCAGCTGTGGGGAGTCTGTAGCACTAGCTAGAGTTTGGCGAACTCTCTCCACTGCTGAACTCTTCTATCTCTGATGCTTCAGCACCCCATCAGCATTAAATAAATGAGCAATGGAGGCTCCAGATGTACCTTGCTTGTCCTCTATCAGTCCCACAAATTCTGTCAATATTCCCCTACCATAGGACACATACATACATATTTAGAATCTAAAGTCATTAGAGCCTGTGGAGTTTTGTCTATATTGTGGTATTTTCATCAAGAATAAAAAATAAGTTCTGTTGATGATGAATTTGTTTCTTAGGATGATATTTACATGCTGCTGTAAATACTTGCTGTACAAGCTCTGACATGTCCGTTTTGTTAATTCATTTTGAGGTGCCAAGTGTCCCCAGCCCAGTGTCCATTGCCTTCCTAAAATGCATGTAAGCCTCCCAGGACCTGCTAGTACATTGTGACCTAGGACTTGTCAACCCTGCCTTCAGCTGTGATTATTAATTAGTAAGATCATGGAAGTTTTAATAAACTTTTTTACTTTAAGTCATAGAGGTTTCACATTGCGTAGTATGTAATTCACAGTTCTAAATATATAATTTAGAAATAATTCTTGAGCAGTAAAAAAAAACAAACATTTTAAAATCTGAGTCAAACGGCAATGCTTATTTTTATATTCAGGGTCCAGTTTACAAATGTGGTGCCTAAATAGAAAATATCCATTATAGATCATGGCATTTAAATCGGCACAAGGCATAAAACTGGCCTAAATGCCAGTCTGAGCATCCAAATGCCAGAATTTATATATCCAGTATATATTTGAAAATTAGACTACCCATATGAATTCTTTTTCCAAGATACAAATTTCACGCCAGCTCTTCTGGAGATTTTCCCAGAAAGAGTAAATTGCCATGTTGATCTATTTTCCCAGATGACGCCTAGTCCTATGGAAGCACATGATACAACATCTTTCTTTTATGTGATGCTATGCCCACACTTCTGAGATTAGTTACTGAATATAGTTCTAAAAGACTATGTCCTTTATCTATTTTTATTTTTATTTTTTGAGATATCAGCTAGCAGGTCACATGCAGCTGGGTCCTACTCTAGTTTTCCAGCTGATTTTTACCGGTGTCCAGGCTCTTCTTTGCAAGGTGGTGATTGAATATCTGTAAAAGTATCTAGAAAGCAAGGAGAAAGTGGCAGGAATATAACCGATAATAAGTAGGTGCTGCATGGACCACAGTTTGAAAATTTCTGATTTAAACTAATGTTTTTCTCAAATCCATTGTAAAAGCATTATACTCACTTGCCAAAATAATTTAATTTCCTCTTGTTTTTAGGTGACGTATGAAGCCATTAAAATTCCAAAATGGCCTCCTCTTTCAGACATGCACCCAATAGATTATTATTCTTCTTACACCAAGAATTGCACTGGACAGTTTACAAGGAAAGAAATCAGAGATATCAGAGCATTTTATTATGCTATGTGTGCAGAGACGGATGCCATGCTTGGTAGGTAATCTTCCAGAATAATAATACAGAAAAGAGATTTGAAACTGTTAGTAGATAACTCTGATCAGGCTAGCCTTTTGTAATGAGTTACTCAAAGTTATGTGTAAAATAGCTTCCTAGTTATTGTATAAATCAGGGGTGGCCACCCTGAGCCTGAGAAGGAGCCAGAATTTACCAATGTACATTTCCAAAGAGCCACAGTAATACGTCAGCAGCCCCCCTTCAGCTCCCCCCCACTCCCAGCGCCTCCCGCCCACTGGCAGTCCCACTGATCAGCGCCTCCCCATCCCTCCTCGCACCTTCCCATCCCTCCTCTCACCTTCCAATCAGCTGTTTCGTGACATGCAGGAGGCTTGGAGGCGGAGGGGGAAGGGGTGGAGTGGGAGTAGAGCCAGGGGTTGAGCAGTGAGCACCCCCCGGCACATTGGTAAGTTGGTGTCTGTACCTCCAGCTCCAGAGTCGGAGCCTGTAGAAGGAGCCGCATATTAACTTCTGAAGAGCCTCATGTGGCTCTGGAGCCACAAGTTGGCCACCCCTGACGTAAATGATGCATGTGCAAAAGAACTGGATTGTGTAGAGTATTGCTGTCAGACTTGGAAGGATTAGATTTTTGGATGGTAAATGTTGATTTCACTGATGAAACTGATGAGAAAATATTTCCATTAGTGATGATCAAAATTTACAAATAGGCAAAGAAAGAAAAATCATGCTTGAGAACTTATTGGAGATTGTTATATCACATGTCAAAACATACAAAGATATATCCTTAAATCAATTTCTGTTTTATAGGTTGTAAACTTTTAACTTTTTGATATCATTAAATTGCCTGCGGGGTTTCTTTCCCCACTGTCTGACCCTCCCTATACTTTCTTGCAACTGTGAAATTAAAATCCATAAAAATAGAAAAAATGCCTAAACAAACATGGATATTACCTGTTGAAGGTGTTTGTTTTTTTAAAATCGAGTTCTGCCAAGCCTACTAATGGACTGTTTTACTGAGTGTTCTCACTTACTGGTGTGAATTCAGACCAGGATGGTAATTGTATGTTGAAAGGTGTTAATAGCGTTAAGACCTGGTAAAAGTCAATGGATATGCTAAGCACCCTTCATTCAGGCTAAACAATGGAGCAATTAAATAGCCCTTTGTTTAATGATGGCTGAAACAATAGAAGCAACTGCCAAAGACACAGACATCAGGGCAATGCCAAAGTAGAAGCTAAGCCATGTGACACAAGTGGTTTCCTGGCAAGCGATTGCAAATGCAGGGGCTGGGGGATATTGATGAAGTGTCCTTGTGTGTGAAGGAACCAGAAAAGAAAGGAGAAGGCAAGCAGACTAGAAAGAAGCAGAGTGAGTGCGGCCTTAGAAAGAAGTCCTAAGAGATCTTTTGGGAAGAATACTCACTGAAAAGGCAAACTTGGATTTCTGCACTATGAGATTGCCTCCTGATTGTTTTCTACTATGCTTAAGGAAACAGAACTTTGGTGCAATCCTATTTATTTACAAAGATTCTACACAAACAGACACCTGATTCCACTCATTATTTCTCCTTTGAATGGAAACAACCTAGCAAGGCCCCAAATATTAGCTAACTGCTTGGGCTAACGGACAACAGCTGTGACTATGAAGTAGACAACAAAATGACCTATGCAAGGCTCCCATGTTTGTCCCTGGATATAATAGCAACGTATTGAAAATTACAAGAAAAAATAAGTTAAATCTAAATAAGCATGCAAAGTTTCCGTAGTTTATACATGCAGGCAAATCAGCCTTAATTTACTGTGTTTTGTTTCTTCATTTTAAAAAGTGATATCTAAAGAACAAGAATTCTCAGTAAATAGAACAGTTACTTTAAATATTTTTGTGATGTTAGAATGATTCTATATAAAAATGCAAAGGACCAATCCTCCTGATCACACAGGGGTCTCATGGAGAAACAGTCAGGCCTCCTTGGACCTCTGATTCTGAAGCGATCATGCTGTTGCAATACGTGTTGCAGGGTAGCTTTCGACTAGGGTCCCTCTTCTGTAAAGTATTTAAGTATGTACATAATTTTAAGCATGTGAGTAGTCTCATTAAAGTCAGTGGGATTACTCACGCTTCAAGTTACGCATATGTAGGTACCTTGCTGAACCATGGCCATCCCTTCTACCATGCTTCCATTGATGCTGCTCCTCTTTCTCTCTCCGTTGCACAAATCTGAGGCTGTAGTAGCTCCTGTGGAGATACATGCACAAGAGAGAATGAAAAGCACAGTGCCTGGGATAGAGTGAGGGCTCAGTCAGGACCCCCAATATCCAGTGCTTTGGGTGGGGGCCTCTGCTGTCCAATTGCCCTGGGTATTGTTGGCTGCAATGGGATCCCATCCAGAACTGTGGCTGGCCTCCTTTGTGGGGAGGGAGTGCCTGTCATCCCTTCAAGATGTCATTGGTGGTGGTTCAGCCCCATCCCCAGGCTGGGGTTCACAGTCCCCAGCAATCTCAGACTATAATGGATATTGCAGTGAGGAGTGGAGTCTCAGGCTTTGCTTTCAGTGGGAAGGAAAGAAGCTCCAAGGCTTTTGAACAGCACCCCAGTTGCTAGCAAGGGCCCCTCCCCTCAGGATATGCATGCTGCTCTTTAGGTGCAGAAGCTTAACATAATATCTGAACATACTTTTTTCAAGTCTCTCTTTTGTTGCAGGTGAGATCATTTCAGCTCTAAGTGATACAGGACTTCTTAAAAGAACCATTGTTATATTCACAGCAGATCATGGAGAACTTGCTATGGAACATCAGCAGTTTTATAAAATGAGCATGTATGAAGCAAGTTCCCATGTTCCTCTTCTAGTTATGGGGCCAAGCATTAAAGCTCATCATCACCTATCAAATGTGGTATCTCTTGTAGATATTTATCCAACTATGCTTGGTAAGTAACTTAATTCTATTTGAAATAACTGAAACTTTGAGATTTGGGTATGAATTGGTGGTGGCAGTAGTAATAGCATTATGTTTAGGGTTCCGTTGTGATAGGTGATGTACTAACTTGGTAAAAAACAATGCCTGCTCTGAAGAGCTTACAATCAGATTTAACACAAAATCAACAAGTGGTGTAGGGATTAAATAGAGGGATTGGAAGAAGTGGGACAAGGGTAACAGTGATAGGAATATGTGGTCACAAAGACTAGTGATGTACACAATCAGTTTGTTTCAGATATTTACATTTTTTCCTCTTTTTTTAGTCTTAAGATGTAAAGACACAAGAAATATTATGGATCTCAGTAATCCCTACTACTTATTTACTTGACCATTGACTGTAAGCATCACAGTTCAAGTGAGTCCTGAGGAGGGATTTCAGGTCAAAGTCAAGGTAGTGGCTTTACTTAATCGTTTGAGGACGATGTTCCATTTATAAAGGGCAGCGTGGCAGAAATGTAAAGGAACTTGTGAAAGAAGTGGACAAATAGGAAGATTGAGGTGGGCATCAAGAGCTGAGAGGAAGGCCAAGGGGTGGTGATGTAAAACCACAAGAGTGGCTACGTGGGAGGCATAGAATTATGAAGCTTCTTGAAGATGAGGACAAGAACAGAATTATCAGACACATAGATGAATATGATTTGTTGGGGAAGAGTCAACGCCTCTTTTTTGTAAAGGGAAATCATTCCTCAATCATTTATTAAAATTCTTTGAGGGTGTCAACAATCATGTGGATAAGGGTGATCCAGTCAATATAGTGTATTTGGATTTTCAGAAAGCCTTTGATAAGGTCTGTCACCAAAGGAAATTAAGTAATCATGGGATAAGAGAGAAGGTCCTCTCGGATCAGTAATTGGTTAAAAGATAGGAAACACAGGATAGGGATAAATAGGTTTCACAATGGAGTGAGGTAATTAGCGGGGTTCCTCAAGGATCTGTAGCGGGACGAATGCTATTCAACATGTTCATATGGAAAACAGAGTGAACAGTAAAGTAGGAAAGTTTGCAGAACAAAATACTCAAAATAGTTAAGTCCAAAGCTGACTGCCAAGAGTTACAGGGGGATCTCACAAAACTGGACAACTAGGCAACAAAGGGCAGATGAATCATAGACGTGTAGGATTGGAAGGGACCTCAATAGATCATCTAGTCCAGTCCCCTGCACTCAAGGCAGGACTAAGTATTATCTAGACCATCCCTGACAGGTGGCTGTCTAACCTCTTTCTTAAAAGCTTCTCATGACAAAGATTCCCCAACCTTCTCAGGCACTTTATTCAAATTCAGTGTTAAGTGCAAAGTAATGCACACTGTAGTTGGGATGATTTTTTTTTCCTCATATATAATCATGGGTTCTAAAGTAGCTGTTACCACTCAAGAACGATCTTGGAGTCATTGTAGATAGTTCACTGAAAACCTCAGCTAAATGTGCAGCAGTGGTCAAAAAGGCTAACAATGTTAGGAACCATTAGGAAAGGGATAGAAAATATCATAATGCCACTATATAAAATCCATGGTGCACCCACACTATGAATATTATGTACAGTTCTGGTTGCCCCATTTCAAAAAGGTTGTAAGGGAACCTGGAAAAGGTTCAGCGAAGGGCAACAAAGATGATCATGGGTATGTTATGGCTTCCATAGGAGGACAGACTAACAAGATTCAGGGTGTTCAGTTTAGAAAGGAGACTATTAGCAGGGGATATGATAGAGGTCTATAAAATCATGAATGGTGTGGAAGGAGTGAATAGGAAAGTGTTATTTACTCTTTACAACAATATAAAAACTGCACATTGTTCCCCAAATCCTCCTACCATCCAGAGTCAAAACCTTAAACATGTATAGGTGCACACTGAATCCATAGCTACGTGCTTGCCTGGGGATGTGGGGCAAAGCACATGTTGGGCTGTGAGCTACACCTCTACTCTCCCATTTTGTAGTGTGGATATAGCAAAAGCACCTGGGAATGTGTTTAGATATGCTGTCAATGCCATTCCCACAATTCCTGGTACCTGCATGCTCTGGCCCTTCTACCTACCCACCTTGTCACCCACTATGTACCAGATACTACTGCTGGTTTATACACAGTTGCTCGGCATTTAATCCTTCATTTCCATGCAACCTGCTCATTTCTGCACAGCTCAGCTGTGCCTAATAGGAAGAGGCACATCATCAGCATTGTGCTGTTTGTTGGCTGCAGGAGCACTCCAGGGTTCTGGTTAACCTCTAGTGTGAGTACAGCAAGCATTATGAGTTTGGGAGGGGTATCCAGAACATCCACGTATGAGAGCATCATGAAGAAGCTGGCAGAAATGGGCTTATCCGGACTGGTGTGCAGCACAGGGAGCGCATCAAGCACTTAAAGCTGAGGATGGCAACAGCAGGTCTGGCAACTCCCTATCTATATGCCCTTTCTACAAGGAGTTTGGACCAGGTGCTTGCCACTGCCATGAGCACAGAGCCCACTGTCCTTCTTGACATACTTCCAAATGCAGACCATCTTATGTTCAGACCAGAGCAAGGGTGTAAAAGAACTCTGGGGATGACACTGGCCAACATCACAATGAACTCCCATAAACAGACTGTGGAGCAGGAAGCCTAGGATCAGTCCACGTGGCCGGATGGGCTAGTGGGTGTCCTGGGTGAATTTTCAGAGGATCTTTTCTGAGATGGGCCCAGGGAACAGTCTGGAGAGGAAGCAATGCGGGACCAGGAATCGGATCCATAGTCTGGTAAGTGCAACCAATCATCTTTATTATTACCATGTGGGAAATTGTAGCATAAGAGTGGGATTTCTGGATTATGAACAATAAAATCATTGTTATGGAGGATATTACATAGGATGGGTTTAGCTTTGGGTGAGGGTAAAAGCCACCCCTCTTTCTCCGCATCATGTGTGATCTAAAGTGATTCTAAGTATTGCCCAGGACGGGAGGGTGATTTAAACATACATCTAGTGATTCTTAACTATTTTTTAAAAAGAATAATAGCAAATTATGAGTAGTAACAGGCTTAGCAACCATGATTACATATCTTTGCATTTACCACTGTCTGCAACTCAATCACCCCAGTAGCATTAAAGCATTCTTCCAGACAGTATGGATTATAAATCCCACTGGCTGCATTAAGTTGTAAAGTCCCTTGTAGACTTCAGTGCTTGGCTGTCTGGTTCTGTCCATTCACAGCACACTGTCTGGGCTGGGGTTGGGAGAGAAAATCAGTTCTGCTCTTCAGAACACTCTGCATCCTACTTCAGCATCCTGTTAATATTCGCCTGAATTTTCTCCCACTCCTGGAAGATGCTTGATAATTTTTCATACAGGAGAAATTCAAGCAGGTTTGTAAAATTCCTGGGTAGGGCAAACTTCCAGTGGCTGCCTACATAACTAACCAACCCTCTCCATGCTTTGATATGTTGTTCAATCACCAGGCAACCACAAAAATCTCCCTTGCTTAGATAGATGGGTTTCTGCATGCAGCCTGCAACATTGTTTGTCCTTCCAAATAATAATATCATCCAAGGCTTCCCTGGCCTGAAATAATATTGAAACGAATACTGGTAACAGAGCCCTAGCCCCCACAACCACCTCCTGACATTTTTTGTAAAATAACAGTTAAATCTGAAATTCTTACCATGGTTTGTCTTTTGTCTGGGAATGTTGCTAGAAGAAGCTTCTGAATACATCAGTATATGAAGATGCTGAAATAAAAGCATACCAGGTTGATAAAAGTTTTAAACCTGGGCCTCATTTTGATGTAAAACATAAAGTGGGAAGGATTCTTTTCTTTCTCCCAGCCCTCCGCCTCCCTTGAAAAAAGTAATAAGCTCTTTCATTTTCTTGACAGGCATTTCCACATCAGCTGCACCAACATTACTACACTGGACTCTTAGAACCCTCAACCAGCATGGGAGGAGGAAAAAGGTCAGATGAGATGTCCTGTGACCTGGGGTACAAGAGAGAAAAATACCAAAAAGCAGAGGAGTGGGAAGAAAATGCTCAACCAATTCCTCAGACATGACCAAAGGAATAGGGCTCAAGCCCAGCTTCTGTTAGACAGACAGTTCACCATGATGGCCAACAGGGTGCAGCTGCCAGTATCAGCTCCACAGCCACCTTCATTGCCAGCTCTGCTGTTGACTCCTGTACCATCACCAGTGCTTGCAGACTCTTCTCTGTGGTACCACATCATGCAGCCAATGCAGCGACTGGCAAACTCAGACTGACCAACCAGTGAACAACTCTATGAATTGGAATGAGCAGATGTACCCTGTGTACTCCATCCCTGTACAGTGCAGTCGCCATGTTTGGCCAGGGAGGAGGAGAACAGGAGGCACATTTGACATCCAGTTCCACTATAAGCAAGACTGACTGTGAAGCTTGGACTTCAGTTAATTGTACTGTTTCACAAACCGTTAGCACTTTATTTAACTTTGCACATTTGTCAATAATTGTTTATGGCCAGTGGGCTGGTATGCTTGCAATAGTTTTACTATTACTTTGTTTTGTTTTCTTTGGGTTTTGTTAATAAATGATTTGGTCGCACAATTCATTGGTGTGTGTGTGTGTGAGTGCATGGAAAAGGAGGAAGAGTCAGGAAATTGTCTCCAAAGCTTTTGATAAAGTCTCATCACAAAAAGCCAATATTAAATATACAATAGCAAACCAGGTTATACATCAGTACACAGCCTTTCTGCATTACAGGTCCATATCCACAACACTCTGAGATGCTAGGATGTGGCATGTAAGGGATCCCCATTTTCTTCTTTGAGTGATTGCTCATGTGTATACAACAATAGGTGTGCGTGCTCGCCACGTGCACCGGTGCCAGAAGTTTTTCCCCTAGCAGTACCCGTAGGGGAGCGCCCCTAGCGACCCCTGGAGTGGCGCCTCTATGGCGCAGTATAAGGGGCACTGTGCACTCCCCCCATCCTCAGTTCCTTCTTGCTGCCAGTCAAGGTTCATCGGAACTGCTCTGCTCCAGCTTGTCTGCAGCTTTCCTCTTGACCTCTTGTTTGTTCATAGTTAGTAGTACCTGCAAAGTAGTTTAGATTAGTGTTAGTTTAGTTTAGTGTGCCCGGGTCGGGATATGCCCCGTGCCTCGGGCTTTAAGTCATGCGACACTTGCAGTGAGTGACCCGCACTGTTTATGCTGTCTGGGAGAAACCCATCTCAGCGATCGCTGCAAGATTTGCAGATCTTTCAAGCCTTGGACCAAGAAGGAAAGGGACATTCGGCTCTGAGCCATTCTGATGGAGTTGGCATTGACCCCGACTCTGGTGCGCCACTCTGAGTTGGCACCAGGTACTGCAGTGTTGGTGCGCGGCGACCCTTGGGTGCCTTCCACCAGTCGGCATGTTATGTCTCTGCTGGTACCAGAGGCACCGCCACCATTGGCTCCCCGGTCCAGAGGCAAGCCACCGTTTGGATCTCTGCAGTTGCCACCTGGTCGGTACCATTCGCAGTCAAGGGAATGTTCCCGACACCGTTCACCGCTCAGCGACTGCCCCGTGCGCAGTCCGCGCCGGTCCCCGTCGACCCCCACCAGGTTGTCTGGCTGCATTCCGACTGACAGGGGTTCGAGGCACCGCTCCACCTCGAAGGACCGTAGATCTCGTGAGGGAAGCGGGCCCCGTTGAGGGTCCTCATCTCCGAGAGGTTACTGTAGGCCATCGTGATACGGGCATCAACGCCGTTCCTGTTCTTCGGCTCGCTCCAGGACCCTGCCGCAGCACTGCTCCCGCTGTCCTGGGTGTCGATCGCCGGCACCTCGCCATCGCAAATCCTCCCATCAGAACCGATTGTGGAGCAGCTGCTACCGGTGGTACCGTTCCTCCACATCAGGATCACGGTCTCGTGGTTGGCACAGTTCCCGACACCACTGCTCCTCCCGGTCCAGAGACAGCGGCAGATCGTACGCCAGCCCGGCCTCCCTTCGTAGTCGTCAGTCAAAGGGACAGGCTAATCAGGCTGAACAGCCTGCTCAGCCGGTGCCACAGCAGGTGCAGTGTTTATGCTGTCTGGGAGAAACCCATCTCAGCGATCGCTGCAAGATTTGCAGATCTTTCAAGCCTTGGACCAAGAAGGAAAGGGACATTCGGCTCCGAGCCATTCTGATGGAGTTGGCATTGACCCCGACTCTGGTGCGCCACTCTGAGTCGGCACCGGGTACTGCAGTGTTGGTGCGCGGCGACCCTTGGGTGCCTTCCACCAGTCGGCATGTTATGTCTCTGCTGGTACTAGAGGCACCGGGCTCCTCGGCCGGCACCGTGGTACCAGTGGGCCCCGTGGCCCCCAACGCAGCCCCTGGTGGGGGCTTGCCCAGTGGCCTGAGCCTCGGAAGGACTGTCTGCCACCCTTTCCCAGCCTCCCAGAAAGGAGTTGGTGCGGCGTTCATCTTCAGTTCCGTGCCCAGAGGGTGACCAAGTGGTGGGACCTCCAGTATCAGTGGGTATGCAGAGTACCGCATCGTCATCCTCCCCTGATGAGGTGATTATGGCCCCTCCTCCCTCTGTTCCGCGGGAGGACTCTTAAGCCCAGGAACTATTGAAAAGGGAGGCATCAAGCCTCAATCTTCAGACCGAGAAGGTGGAGGAACCCTCGGACTCCCTCTTCAACATCCTCTCGGCCTCGGCACCGGGCAGGGTGCCCTCCCACTCCACGAAGGGGTGGCAAAAATTTCAAACGCCTTGTGGCAAACCTCGGCTTCCTTGCCCCCCATCTCTAAGTGGGCAGAACAGAAGTACTTTTTGCCCGCCAAGGGGCATGAATACCTGTACACCCACCCTGCCCCCAACTCCCTGGTGGTCGAGTCGGTTAACCACAGGGAGAGGCAGGGCCAACCAGCCCCTACTCTGAGGCTGGACTTATTCGGGAGAAAGGTTTATTCGTCCTCAAGTCTCCAGTTAAGGGTGGCGAACCATCAGGCTCTCCTGGGTCGGTATGAGTTCAATTTGTGGGGCGCTCTACCCAAATTCGAGGACTCCCTGCAGCAGCGTGACAGGAAGGAGTTCTAAGCTCTAGTGGAGGAGGGTACTGTGGCTGCCAGGGCAACCCTGCCGGCAGCGTCGGATGCCACAGATACGGCTGTAAGGTCTATGGCCTCCGTGGTGTCCATGAGGAGGGCATTGTGGCTCCTGCTGTCTGGGTTGTCCAGTGAGGCGCAGACCTTCTTGCAAGACCTTCCGTTCGATGCCAAGGCCCTGTTTGCAGAACAGACGGACATGAAATTGCACGGCCTGAAAGATTCCCGCACAATGCTTAAGACACTTGGCCTCTAAGTCCCAGCTCCAGCCAGGACCACGTTTAAGCCTCAGCAGGCTCCCACCCAGGCCACCCACTCTAAATCTGAGCCCCCTTATAAAAAGTCACGGGACTATAAGAAAGCCTGCAGAGGCAATCCTGGTCTGCCCCCCAGCCTGGGTCCTCCAAGGGTAAACAGGTGGGGAAACATCAGTTTTGACAGGACGCCAGGGGGTGACCTACCAGTTCATACCAGGGGTCCACCCGCAATAAAGCTTCCCTTCTCCAACCGGTTGTGTCCTTTTCACCCGGAGTGGTTGCGGCTGACTTCGGACCGGTGGGTCCGCAACAACGTCTCCTGGGGCTACACCCTCCAGTTTACCTCTACCCTGCCCAACCACCCTCCGCCCCCATCCCTCCTGGGGGACCACTCTTGCAAGGCCCTGCTCAAGCAGGAGGTGGGGCGGCTCCTTGGCTTAGGAGCGGTGGAAGAGGTGCCAACGGAGTTCAAACGCAAGGGGTACTACTCCTGCTATTTCCTTATCCCGAAGGCCAAAGGGGGGCTCAGGTCCATCCTGTACCTGCGAGGCCTGAACCAGTACATGGTAAAGCTCAAGTTTCGCATGGTGTCTCTAGCCTCCATCATCCCCTCTCAGCATGAGTGGTCGCTACACCCCAGAGGTGGTGCACAGGCTTTTCCAAGAGTGGGGACCTCCCCAGGTGGACCTGTTGGCGACTTGGCAGAACCACCGGTGTCCCTGGTTCTGCTCCAGGGGGAGTTGGGAGTGGGCGCCATCTCAGATACCTTCCTCCTATCCTGGTCGGGCCAGCTTCTCCACGCCTTCCCCCTAATCCGCTGATCGGCAAGGTCCTGGAAAAGATAAAAGCGGACAGGGCCCGGATCCTCCTGATTGCCCTGCCATGGCCCAGGCAACATTGGTACGGGACCCTCATGAGCCTGGCAGTCGCCCCACCGTGGTCGTTGCCATCCTGCGTGGACCTGCTCTCCCAGGGCCGCCTCCTCCACCCCAACCTAGTGGCACTCCACCTCATAGCGTGGCTGCTCAATGGTTAGGCTGGGAGGAAAGGACGTGCTCAGAAGGGGTTCAGCACGGCCTCTTGGAAAGCAGGCGACCCTCCACACGTCAAGCCTACTTGGCAAAGTGGCCTCGGTTTTCCCGGTGGGCAGCTGAGCGGGGCGTTTCACCGTGGCTGCCCCAATCCAGATCATTTTAGACTCCCTCCTTCACCTTAGAGCCCAAGGTGTAGCGCCCTCGTGTGTCCAGGTGCACTTGGCAGCCATATCGGCCTTCCACCCGCCGGTGCAGGGGCACATGGTATTCTCCCATGCTATGACTGGACGATTCCTTAAGGGATCTCTTCCCGTAACTTAGGCCCCCAGTCCTGCAGTGGAACCTGAATTAGGTGCTGGCCCAGTTGACGGGTCCCCCTTTTGAGCCACTAGCTACCTGCTCCTGGTCGCATCTCTCCAGGGAAGGGTTTTGTGGCCTGCAGCATGCAGGGGGTCAGACCAGATGATCATAATGGTCCCTTCTGACCTTAAAGTCTATGAGTCACCTTCCTGGTGGCAATCATGTCAGCTAGATGGGTCTCGGAACTCAGGGCCTTGACCTCCAAGGCCCCGTACACAGTGTTCCATAAGGATAAGGTCCAGCTCCGACCACCATCCTTCGTTCCTCCTTAAGGTAGTCTCTGCCTACCACATGGGTCAGGACATCTTCCTGCCAGTCCTCTGTTCCAAGCCCCATGGGTCCAGTGAGGAGCGCCGCCTCCACGCGCTGAATGTGAGATGGGCTCTGGCCTTTTACCTGGAATGGACTAAGCCATTCAGGAAGTCTTCGCAGCTATTAATCACCTTGGCTGAACACATGAGGGGTCGGCCGATCTCCACTTAGCAGCTCTCCAACTGGATCACCTTGTGTATCCATACCTGTTACGACCTGGCGGGAATCCCTCTGCCATTTATTGTGAGGGCACACTCGACTAGGGCGCAAGCCTTGTCTGCTCCCTTTTTAGCCCATGTCCCCATTCAGGACATTTGTAGGGCTGCCACATGGTTTTCTGTTCATACAATCATCTCGCATTATGCGATCATCTCCCAGGGAAGATGCCGGGTTCGGCAGGGCTGTACTCCATCCTGAGAGTCTGTGAACTCCTACCCACCTCCAACAGATATAGCTTGGAACCACCTATGGTGGAATACACATGAGCAATCACTCGAAGAAGAAAAGACAGTTACCTTTTCCGTAACTGGTGTTCTTCGAGATGTGTTGCTCATGTCTATT